AACTTGCAGCTTCTCAAGTCGCCCCTGATATGAAAAAAAAAAAAGACTAACAATGAACCCTGGGATATCTGAAGGACTATACGGTGTCTATCCTTGATGTATATTCTGATCAATCCTTTTTAAAACTTCTTTTGTTAACACATCTGCAAAGAAGCACTTTCTGATTAAAAAGATAATACCATTGTTGTCAAAACCACTGGACCCCAAAGAGGGCCTCAAAACCCACAGCCATAGAAAGGTCTTAATAGCCAAGTCCAAGACGATCTTTCACCCAGAAACCCAGTTGGGGCTAAGCTCCACAAATGATTTTTAGCCTGGACAAACAAATTTCACAACTCTCAAACACTCGGAAGAGAGCTATAAATATTTCTGTATGTTTGCATCTTGTATGTCAGTCTTTGGAGTGCAGACTTTGATGGCATCCACTTTGGTTAAGGCTTATATCACTGTGAACCACCCTGAGTCCCCTTCGGGGTTGAGAAGGACGGTATACAAATATTGCAAATAAATAAATAAATAAATAAATAATATCTTTTGCTTTCAACCCATCTATGTCAGAGGGCCCTTCCACACAGTCCTATATCCCAGAATATCAAGGTGGAATATTCCATATTACCTGAGTGTGGACTCAGATAACCTAGTTCAAAGCAGATCTTGTGGGATTTTCTGCCTTGATAACGAGGGATATAGGGCTGTGTGGAAAGGCCCTTATTTGGTCTTTGTAGTAGACATGCTGGGTCCCGAACCTGTGATCTTAGCGAAGCTGAAAACACTGAACACCATTGTGAATGGAGAGCTTATCAATAATATCAAATAAGCAGGTGTGGGTTGAGCATTCTTTATCTAGCATTCTGATATCTGAAAATGTCCAAAACTATCTATCTATCTATCTATCTATCTATCTATCTATCTATCTATCTATCCAACAACTCCCAATTTACCCATTTGTATGAGACTCTGACTAGAGAAGATGGTATATACCCGTTTCCATTTAGGAATTGGTTCTAGAAGGAAGAAAAGAGAAGATGTATTTTCTCAGATCTTTTGTCCAGGAGGGAGTTAAGATGGTGCTCCATACAAAAAATGAGAAGCTGGAATTAGCTAGAAGATGATCCTTATGAATATGAACCGCTGGTCACACTGGATTGACTGAAATCAAGGTTATTTAAATCACCAAGAGGGAAACACCCACTTTGTCACTGATTTAAATAAAGTTCTCCTTGATAGTTCTTCAGAGTTCTGAGATGATGATGCAAATTTTGATCATTAAATTATGTTAATTACAACTCAGTGGAGTAGTTTGCAACATTTAAGAGGGTGTATTAATAAAAATAGCTTTATTTTTATTAATTTAGAAAACAGTAGTGCATAATAGACTCATTATGTGTGTCATGCTGTGAGCAATGCGTCAAGTGCATTAGGAATGATAAGAAGTAAATCACACAGGCATAATGGCACATGGTTTATTACATTCAGTCTTAACTGTTCATAAATGTTTCACATTGCTACTGCAGAAGTGCCAGCTGCTGTAGCTATCCTTAAAATACACATGCATGCACAATATCTATGAAAGGCTTACTGGTTGATCCATGGAGATCTAAAAGCTTCCATGAGGAAGTACACCTAGGAGAGTCTGCTTTGAAGGGAGGCTAGCATCAGGGAACCAATGGTGATGATGGTGGAAGTTTTTGTACTAGGTATCCAAAGGCCAGACTTTTAACGACTTGGCCATTGTTGTTTGCCTTCGTGCTCTTTTGACTTATGGTGACCCTAAGATGAACCCATCATAGAGTTTTCTGAGGCTGTGGTCTATGGTCACTCAGGCTAGATCTACACTGCTCTATATCCCAGGATCTGATCCCAGATTATCTTCTTATCCCAGATTTTCTGACAGTATAGACTCATATAATCCAGATCAAAGCAGATAATCTGGGATCAGATTCTGGGATATAGGGCAGTGTAGATCTAGCCTCAGTGTGTTTCCATGTCTAAACAGTGAACTGAACCCTGATCTTAAGAGTTACCACCCAAAATATAAACTGCTACATTATGATGGTTCTATATAATAATATTATAACATGTTGGAGGGAAAAGTAGGGGGGGGGGGGGAAACCAGAGGGAGGGAAGTTGGTTAATACAAAAGGGAAGGAAAGCAATAGTGTAGTGGTCACTGCCAAACTCTCCCCCAGATCAAATGGTAATAGCCCTCCAAGTTTGAAAATGCCATGAATGAATATCATGTCTTTGAGTGGGAAATTAGCAGCTATTCAGGACTTCATGATGGATGAGCACACTGACCAGGCTTATATCAAAAAATTTGGCTGGGTGAATCAGGAGCGTTGGTGGGTTGACGTCAGTCTTCTTTTCCCATGAGGTTTCTCTGTGCAGCATGAGGTGAGATGTGGAGGCAGGAAGAGAGAATTGCAATTGTCTATTGTGCTCCAGTCTCCCTAACCAGTGCCCTATCCTACAAAATGCTGGGTTTGATTGTGTATATTTAAAGGTGGGTGTCTGCAATAGAACAGAAATTCTGTTAAGACACTATAAAGCAGAGTGAAGCCAAAGTAACCCCATATTTTTTTTCAGGGAGAAAAAGAGAGTAAGACAGAGTGATGCAAGTGGGAGAATTGGAGCAAGCCAGACCAGAGACACGAGTCTCTTTGAAGACCTACTGTGTAAATTATTATTTTTTGCCATTGCTGCCTCTGCAAAAATATGTCCAATAATGCTGTTTTGAATGATCCGATATTGTGGAGGCAGTTTTGACTTTTCCACTATTGTGGCAACTAATGGGTACGACATGGCTTGTGTTGATTGCCTGGAGTGACATCGGACAGAAAGCCAGAGTGATAGGAGAGGGAGAGGAGGATTTTCCCCCTTTTCACCCGCTCTCCCCAACTGATCACCTTGTCACTCAAGCCAGTGTTACTCCAGGCAAAGAGTGATCAACATAATGTGCCTCCTGGCCACTGCATTTATTATAATGGGGTTGGGGTGGTGACTGACATCCCATGTTCTTGGGGCTACCCAAGCTTGGGGGATATGAGACTATTTACATGTCAAACAGTTGCAGCCCAACTGATTACAGGGGTCCAAAGTCCGTTTGCTCTACTATCTTGGGCAGAATTCATAACTCATGGCTTCAAGGCTGTGTTAAGACAGCCTTGGCCCGCATTAACCCAAATGCCCTCCGTGCATTATTTAGCCGTAACGGAGCTGATTCACTCACCTTTTAGGATAAGAGGTTGGTGCAGATATGCCCAGTTTGATGCCCAAACTATTACATCACACATGCTCAAAGAGATGAAGATCCATGGGCTTTATTATGATTGTGAGCACTATTTTACAGATTGTGAAAATGGTGAAAGATGCATTATGATGTCATGGACTTGTACTGAAAAAACATGTTTATTAGTTGGGTAACTGAATAATAAGTAAGGGGCTGTTGGGAAGGACTAAACAATGTGCTGTGGGAGAGAAAGCTGATTGGTGGAATGTTTGAGATTGGCATAAAGTTTGCTAATAACATTTTGGAGTTCAGTTAGACAAGGGCTTTAGATTGAGTTGACTATTTTTGGTGGGGGTCTGGTATGGTTGACCAGAGTTAGGTTGAGAAGTTTGTGATTTAAATGTAACAAGTATTTAATCTGCTTGGTTATGTTTAACTTCTGTAAAAAAAATAAATGGTCATGTGAGGAGCGACTTGAAAAACTGCAAGTCACTTCTGGTGTGAGAGAATTAGCCGTCTGCAATGACGTTGCCCAGGGGATGCCTGGATGTTTTGATGTTTTATCATCCTTGTGGGAGGCTTCTCTTATGTCCCCGCATAAGGAGCTGGAGCTGATAAAGGGAGCTCATCCGTGCTCCCCCCAGATTCGAACCTGCGACCTGTCAGTCTTCAGTCCTGTCGGCACAGGAGTTTAACCCACTGTGCCACCAGGGGCTCCTACTTCTGTAAATATCTGGATCCAGTTTCTCAAATAAATAGTATTTATCTACTTCTGTAAATAAAGATTGGTGATTTTTCTTGTCCTTAATCCATTTTTGATCTCCGGAAATACTATTTATTTGAGAAACTGGATCCAGATAATGTGACTGTATTTTTACTATAGAGGGGTGTTATTCATTGTGAATAGAAGTGGCATAAATTCTCATAGGTATGTTATGGATATTTAGAGGGTTCCTACAGTTGGTGCCACACAGATGGAACACGAGAAGTTCTTACACTATGGCAGAGTGGGGATCAGGGAAAGCCCCCATCTCCTCATAATTGTAGTGAATACCATGGAAATCTTTACATTTGATGGATTACATGGTTGAAATCCCATATCTGGCTATGGTGGGGATTGTCTGAACATCATGCTCCGAAAGGAACTCAGAGACTTTTCAATGCCAGCCCCATGCAAGTGCTGCTAGGAAAGCGAGTTCCCAGCAGGGCCCTCTCTGGAGAAGGAGCCTAGGGAACTTTTCCAAAAAGAAATAGGACACTTCACTGCCGAGGAGGGAAAAAAGACGCCACAGGATCTTCTCCAGGAACCCCGTGGCAGACCCCTGCCTCAGGTATAATGCAGACTGAACTCCATCCTCTCCAGTAGTAGATAAATCTGACTCTCTTGATCTATTTTGCTGAGCTTTTTGGTTCCTTCCTTCCCATTCCGTTTTTGAGGGATTACTCAGAACGGGCCACCAAATATTACAAATCACTATCGGTCAAACTGATTTGGGCCCAAGTCTAGTGTTATTGTTTTTTTGCTCACAACTCGACTCTGATTTATGGGAACTCTATGAATGAGACTCTTCCAAGATAGCCCTGTTCGAGTCTTGCAAACTCAGGGCTGTGGCTTCCTTGATTGAATGAGTGTGTATCCTGAATCAGAAAAAAAGCATCATAGGCCTTATGCAGTGTTGTACATAATTTAATTTACAGTTTTGTATATAAACTTCTACTGTATTGCACGCTATTTTAGCAAACTATTTGCAAAAAAAATCAGGAAAAATACTTAAAGGATTTAAAAATAAGGGTTTTAATGGAGCTGACAAGAAAATAAAGGAAGCAATTTACTTAATGGGATACAATCCTTTATGTTGAAAATGAGAGTTACATACAACGAGAATACAGCTAAAAGATACTATACAGTCCAACACTTAATTCCTCAAATTGTGTAAAATTAACAAGTCTCTACTGTCAAATATACAGTATTTCATATGATCATGAAGGATTCTGAAATTAAATACAGGCAGCATTGTCGTCACGTGGCTTTTGTATGATCAAAATCATAGGGTCATGTAACTATTGCCAAGTTTATACTCTTAATGCCTTGAAAAGGCAACCTCCACAGCTTTTGGCCCAATGCTTTTTATTTTTCCAGTCTAGTACCCCAATTTAAGATTTATTTTTACCTTCCATTTCTGAAACGTTAAATAAGCAGAAATAATAAGGAAACAAGATGCTTTTTTGAAAGAAATGTCCACCGAGGATTCGGATCTCGGACATTCTGGACTCCATCCTCTGGACTCCTACACAGACATTCAGAGTAACGTCTCACAGCAGGTTTTACAGCAGACGCCTGTCCTGTATGTTATCCAATCTAAGAATTGGCTAAAATTCATACCAGAATCAAAAAGGTGATCTCCAGCATTTGTTAAAATTGTTAAAATCTATAAACAATAAAATTACTGTAGAATTTATCGCATAGAGCGCTAGCATACAACAGTGCGTCCTCAATCTAGATGAAATACAAAAGACTAACATTTTTTCATACAAATAATTTCTTTAAATTTATTCATGTGACAAGATATTTATTACATAAAATTTGCTACTGCAAAAGTATTGTATGTTTGTCTTATACATACATTGCCGGGGGAGGGAGACGACACACACACACAAAAATGGCAAAACAAGACTCCTAAAGGATGATGTGCGAAAACGGCTTGACAACTTAAAAAGACATACGTAATGTTACATGATACATCCTATTCCAGACTGAAAAACATGTCGTCTGTCTGTTGGTTTCGTTAAAGGAGTGTTGTAGAGATTAAAAAGAAGTAATGCCAATGGTCTCGTCTGCAATGGCATTCCACAGAACACCATGACTACACAGAAATCTAGGTTAGTTAATTTAAAAAAACACATTTCATTCTTGTATGCAGGTAAATTGATAGCCAAACATGAGCCAGGATTGGTGTGAGTTTTTCGGGCTGAATGGCCATGTTCCAGAAGCATTCTCTCCTGACGTTTTGCCTGCATCTGTGGCAAGCATCCTCAGAGGTTGTGAGGATGCCTGCCATAGATGCAGGTGAAATGTCAGGAGATAATGCTTCTGGAACATGGCCATATAGCCCAAAAAACACACAACAACCCAGTGATTCTGGCCATGAAAGCCTTTGACAACATATTAAACATGAGCCAACTTTATTTCAAACACACTGATGTGCCCTCTTAAGACAAGCCATCTTGAGAGAAAGCAGAAATGGAGTGCCCATAAAGAGTTGTATGGATAAATTTAAAAGCACAAGAAGGTGTGCTAAGCCACTGATTGTTAAACACTGAAATAAGTGTGTAAGGAAAGTGCTGGAAGCAAACACATGGCAGCAATACCCCTTTAAGTCAGTCGGTTAGATAATATGAAACTGAATGCAACCTGAACAATTCCCTGTATGACCATACAACCCATTTCACTAGTAGGTTAGAAATGAAGACTCCCACCGCACAGATATGGATGGCGGCAGTTTCAAACTTTTGTCTCTTTTCCATGCAAATGAAGCACTGCTGATAACCATGATTGGAGCAGCACTCCATCCTTGATTTACTAATATAGTATACCAGGATAAAAAAAAACTTGGCATTTACTTCTTTTATTCTTCACAGCTAACAGAAATACCAGGTTTATCTAGCAACGCATCAATACTTTAAACACTACATTTTCAATTTGCAAAACCATTTATTCTTATCGCTAAAGAGATTGATTAAAAAAACACAAAAAGAGCTTTCCTCCCCTTTAATAAAAAAGGGTTGAAATGTGAAATACTTCAGGAGCCCCAACATTATTAAAAACCAGTCCTAGTCTCTGACAATACTGACCAAATCTTTTTTTTTAATCTATGTCTTTCGGGCTTTCAGGTGTTTCAAAAACCCATTTAAACAGCTACTTACTGCAATGCAGGTACTTAAAAGCATGGTTAAACATGGTCCAAAATTTAGGCTGGATGGAATTGTTCCTGCTTACTGAGACTGTGCTTCTCGTGGCACAAGAATATGCTTATGGTGCACTTGCCTACTGCCCAGGAAGGAAAAAGAAATATGAGGCAGGAAGAACTGCCAGCATGTAGAAAACCAAGGCACGGGGTCTAGCTACTGTACCCTACACAACTGCCCAATTTTGATACTAAGTTTGGTCAGTCTCCAGGATGATGTGTTGAAATCAATTAGCATACACTCATATGGCGATAAATACTACCTTCAAAAATGCTAATGATGTTGGCTAGGTTTAGTCTGAGCTACGAACAAAAAAAAATACAAACCTATGAACTGTAGCTTCAGACATAAAGACAGACGTGGGAGGACTGGCTGGCAAAGACTAGAAGCAACATTTATCTTTCACTTCAGTCTAAAGTCATACTAGCCAAAATACCTTCAATTTCATTATTCACACAAATACATTATTCGAAATAAAATGGAGCATTCTTAGGTAAAAGGCTGCTTCATTTTTAAAAGGAGGGGGGAAGAGAGGGGGAAATCAACAATACACAGAAATTAAACAAAATGACAGAAAAAAGGTAATTAGGAAAAGTGGTCTATATTCTGTGTTACAGCACAAACCGTGCTTGCTTAATTGTGCCTAGTTATAAGGGTTGGTGCAAACTGCACACATGGAAGATGGCAATAAAGACCTCAGTCAGCTTTGTGGAATGAAGTAACTAGGTAATTGTTTTGACATATGATGGTCTCAGCTCCGCCTCATGAGTTTACAGAGTGCAAAGATCCCAACATGAGCCCTGATGTCCTCTTATCCTCCAGCAAGTACTAAAAATCAGCAAATTCCTTTGCACATTTTTCTGTTAGAGACACGCGGATATCTTCCTCCTCATAGTCATCAAAATTGCTGGTATCTCCAGGACCTCTACATTTTGGTATGAAAGGGGCTTCTACCTACATGTGAAATAGAAATATAGAAAGTTGTAGTTGCAAATCTGAAAGATTTAATCAACAGTAATCAGCAAAAAAACAAAAAACAAAAAACAATTTCTTGGCAGTGAACTTATAGAAATATGTGTGTCTGGTACACCCCAAGCAAACATCTTAAATGTGGAATTTGTTAGTTAAGGATCGAGATATTAATCACTGGCCAACACACATTTTTGTGCCTCAATGTTAGACCTGTTTCTTGATATATTTGACCTTCTGATTCCAAAAATGACACCAGTTTTTCCCTATCAGCTCTAATTTTTGAGTTACAGAACATATGCCATCTACCAGTTGCCATCTGCTCGCCCACAGAAAACCATCAAAACCATTTCTAAGAAACAAGAACTAATGCAATCTATCCAATACAATTTTCTGATAAAGTTTTGGTGACCAATATACTTGCTCCAAAGCAAGATGTACCAATTCATAACACACATATTATTTGTCTTGGGATGAGAGAGAACAACAGAGGTACTCTCTGGGTTTTACAGCAGTTGGAAGTCAAGGGCCCTCAAAACAAAGATGACTTCTTCCCAAGAAGGGCATCCTGACAAGAGGGAGGTCAACCTTGATGTATTCGCCATCCAAATAATTAACTACAGTGACTTTCCTTTCTCTTTGCCTGCTAGAAAAGAAACTCACACATTTGGCTCCAGATGCAACTTGCTCTAGGATAACAGAACTAAAGGAAAACGTGTTATGGCCCATTCAACAGAAAGAGGACAAAGGGCTACCAAGTTGTATATATGAGAGAGTCTGGGGGTAGCAATAATACTTGTAGGACCCTGGAAATTTTAGGTTTAAAGGCAGAAAGTCTCTCTTCCTACAAGCGGCATACTAAATGCATATTTGGAATGCAGATGAAGAAGCTACAATTCTTTGGTGAACATTTTGCTTAAGAAATCAGTCTTCAAAATACATGAATATAGTGAGCTTAATCGTAGCCTGTCTTGTGCTAATTAATACATTACTGATTATAACTGCTACTGTATGTCACACTGTGAAGCTAAACAACCAGTTTCCTTTCATAAACTATTGTTCGGTTTGAGATTTAGCTGCTCTTTTTTTGCATGGGAATATAACTATGCAGTTATAAAATAAAGGTATTTTTAAAAACTCTCACTGTTATGGCCATGAATGTGTTTGCATTAAAAGTGTTGGTGGTTTCAGTAAGATTACAGGAAGGCATAATTTGTTGGCATTTATTCCATCACAGTAAATACCAATGAGCACCCTACCAATGCTTTAGAACAGTGGTTCTCAACCTATGGGTCCCCAGATGTTTTGGCCTTCAACTCATAGAGATCCCAACAGCTGGTAGATTGCCTGGGATTTTTGAGAGCTGTATGCCACAGGTTGAGAACTACTGCTTTAGAAGGAGTCAAAATAGTGTTCAGGAAACCAATCTAGAGGCTTTAAATCTGATGGTTTTCATGCATCCTCCAGGGCATTTTTGAAACCACTAAGGGCCTCTTAGCATTTATTAAGCAAAGACTTGCTCTGAGCCTGAAACAGCCTCAGCCCCTCTAACCATGATGATATTGCCCCCTAGGGTATAGAGCATTTTGATGTGATATATATATATATATATATATATATATATATATATAAATTAAAAATGCAAGAGTGGCTGCATGGCAGGTAGAAGAGTGTGGACAGGTAAGTACTCAATGCAATCTCCAAACATTCAAGCCACACAGCCTCCCTTGTTCCAAATCCTCTGTTGTTTTTCTTTCTAAGAATAAATGTAGCACAATCTTACCTTTCTCTGATAAATAGCAATCCAATCTGTAGTAGCAAACCATTTGTGATTTTTAATATCGTTGACTCCATTCTTGAGATTACCATATCGTTTGGTCAAATCTACTTGGAGTAAATTTCTTAGTAGATCCTTAAGATCTGAACTGAAGTGCGATGGGAACCGTACCTGCAAAATATGAGCTATATGTTAATACTGCAATGCGAACTCTGTTTAATTCTCGGGGGAGGGGGCATAAATAAGTTGAGTTAAGTTTCAGAAGTGTAAATTCCCAACTACACATTTTGAAAAACTGCTATAATCAAGCACAGAAACCATGATATATATTTGGTTGCCTCCCAAAGTTTCAGTGTCAAATTCTTCCCCCCTCCACTCTCAATAATATTTAAAATATGAGAACACTTGATTAAGTTAATGTCATCACATTAATTTAATGTCAATTGGCATCCAAAAGTTCAGATGGCATACGAAATGCAAGGTCATATGTTTGCTGCTACACTGAGTTTGGTGCCACTACTAAGTAGAATGATTCTGCTTGAAAAACTAGTTTGTGTAAGAAGGACTGGTTCTCAACCAGTGGTTTTCAACCCAGGTGTTTTGGCCTACAACTCCCAGAAATTCCAGCCAGTTTACCAGCTGTTAGGGTTTCAGGGACTTGAAGGCCAAAATATCTGGGGACCCACAAGTTTGAGAACCACTGGTCTAGCCTTTGATTGCTGTTCATCCCTGCTTTAGTGTGACACTGGGGAAGAATTTAGTTGTATGTATGTAATTTAAGATGGATCAAGATGGTATGGGAAAAAATGGCTGTAGGCCATGCATGAGAAAACTTCTGCCTCCATGTGTGTTGGACTTCAACTCCCAGAAATTCCAGCCAGCCTACTGACTGTTACAGTAGGATTGTGAGGGTTGAAGTCCAAAACATCTAGAGGGCTAAAGTTTACCAAGGCATAATGTAGGCACATAGCTATGGCACAGATGGGGAAGAGGATTCCTTTTGTAAGTTCTGCCACCTCCAATCCAAACTCCATCAGCTCTAGCTTCCAAAAACATTCAGGCAGCTAGTGATGCTGCAACCCATGTGCCAGCCATGTCATAGAACAGGCCTCTTCATACTGTAGCCCTGCATGGGTGTGGGAGTCGGAGGTACAAACATCTGGAGGGCTGCAAGTTGAAGAGGTTTTTTTCTCCTTTCTGCTCCATTGCAAAGGTACAAACAGGGCTTCCTTGTAAATGGACACTAGCTTATGATGCAACACATGGCCTCTTGAATCTTGTCTGTGACTACATATGTAAACCATTTAAAAGTATAAGTGGTATTTTCTATGGCAGGTTTTCACTGCTTCCTGATTCTCTGCAAAATAAACCAGTGTTTGAGCAGGAAAAGCCCAATTCCTCAAATATAATTTTCTCCTCCAAACTTCAACTGTAGGCAGTGGTTCTGGACCAACAATTTCTGATCAAGATTGTCACTGTTTTGTACAGCACAATAGTGGTGAACAAGCATTTGATTCCACCGGGGGGGGGGGGGGGTTGAAGTTTCTCCACCTGTGATTTCTTTATTGTGATGTGCAAATCCTGAATGCTGATTTCTCTTCCTCCCCAAAAGGCTGTGTCACAAGCCTTGCCAAGGGAGGAACAAGCAGAGTACACATTTCCAGGTTAAAAACAGAACACAATGAAATGTTTGTGGTTTAACAATCAGGTAGCATGCAGAAGCATTTGGCTTGCAAACATCTGGTTCCCCCAGCCCAGTGGTTCTCAACCTGTGGGTCCCCAGATGTTTTGGCCTTCAACTCCCAGAAATCCTAATAGCTGATAAACTGGCTAGGATTTCTGGGAGCTGTAGGCCAAAACACCTGGGGACCCACAGTTGAAAACCCCTGCTCTAGATGTTAATGGTATTCTGAAATCAATCATTTTTTTTCCAAAAGTGAAGTTTTTTCCCCCTCCAAAATCTTGTTTTCCAGTCCCACCATATAAACACAATGTGCCCTACTGCTATTATGGGGTCATCTCAGAACAGAACCTTTTTATCCTCACAACACAGTCAGGTATGAACACCCTATGTTTCTGGGGAATTTTCTTTGCAGATTTATATAATTCTTTGGTCTTATTCTGCAGAGGCAAATTTGCTATATCTTTACAAATATTGATCCACTACCCCTTATTGCTTCTTAAGTTTTCCCTTTATGCATTCCTCATAATGTAAAGATCTCCAGTTTCTCAAATTCTATGCCATATTAACATTATTATATATGTAGTGTGAGTCTTTTGATATGCAAATCTCGAAAGAAAGAAAAATTACTACTTTTCAGCTTGTGATTTATCTTATGGTACATAATAAATCCAACCTGTATAAAGCAGTCCATAAATCTAATATGTCAAAATGATCCCCTTGCCCTTCAAAAATACTATATAACATGAAAGTTGTTTGTATGTTAGTTGTTATTTACCTCCTACTTTAATTATAGTACTATAGCTGTCATTCTTCCCCTTGGTTTAATATAAGGTCGTTTCCCTATTCCCAGTCTGGCTATTACTGCAAGTCTATACACAGTTGCTGTGTATCCAGGGCCTCACCCACTGGCACTCAGTGACTATGTAGTATAACTGCAGAGTAATATATCACTGTACTGGGAACTGCCATCACTCTGTGATTAATTTTGCTGCATTTATGCTCTTCTTAGCTATGTATGATAGGAAAGGTGAGGCAGAAAGTTTTTTCAATCTTATGTTTTCCATGAAAAACAACCCCAGTTCCTTAAAATGGGATTTGACTGTATATTACAAATGCGTTGATTTTGTTAATCATTAACTCAAACCATGTCAGTTAAAGTGGTGTTAAATGGCATTAATTCTACAGTGTAGATCCACCAAAGTTGAAATCAATCCCCATACACTAACCACACTCTTTTCACATGGGATCCGTGCATTTATTCCATATGTGAGGCCCAAGTGGGGTTATAGTTTCCCTAACTTGAATTTTTCCTGTCTTCCACATAAAGAGAGAAAGACAAAAATGGCCTGTCGATATGTTCATTTTGTGAAGACTGTACTGAACATAGAGTGGTCAGGGCAAATCCAGTAAATATGCAGATATAGATCGGTGGCTGTAAACATCCTACATGTTGACTGTATACACAGACAGAACATAAGGACAGGATTTTTTAGGAAAGAATCTACATATCTACTGCATAGGCTTTGAGTGTGCTAAAATTAGAACATCAACAGCTTTCATTTTCTTTAAATTTACAAAATGTAAAGGAATGCTTCTGAACTGTCACGTAGATGTTTAGAGGAATTTTGATAAGATTTTCTGTTTCAACTGGCTGAAGAATGCTTAAAATTTGTGCTGAATTGAACTTACACAAAGGCATGCTGTCAGTGTCTTGGTATAAAGCCGCAGATGTGGCTTTAGGAGGGAAGCAAGGCACTTGCAGCAATTCTTTTCTATCCCTGCAGCTTCATAAAAGCTCCCTTATTTTACAGAGAAGCTATTTAGTGAATGTAGCAGGTTATGAAAAGGGCAAAATGGTGATTTTGCAATCTGTCTTAAATGAAGTTCTTTTCAGTCTTCTTCTTTACTTAGTTTCCCAATCTATATGTTAAAATTTTGAGGTGACTTATAGAAATGGTTTTGTTTTCAATGGGAAACAGATTTTTTTCCAAACACTGTAAAACAGAAAGGGGTAGAGGAAGAATCCAGCAGCAGCTATGAAACTAGCTGGTTTGTTATAGCATATGCTTTTGTGGATATTAATTCACGCTTCATGATGGCCTGAAGCAGCTTAATAAGCCTTTGCTGTCAAAAGAGAAATAACGAAACAAGGAAAGCCAGGGAAGCAACAAAGTTACCAAAGTGTCTTGTCCCCAAATAGGAAGTTTGATAAAAGTGTGCACTCTAGGAAATTGCCAAATATGCCATTTGCTTCTTACGTGCATGAAATCTTCATCCAAATGAACTAAATAAATTGGAGACTTTTCAACAAAAAGTGTTGGAAATTGCAATAAATATAGGCATCGTATGTTTTGTTTGTAATGTCCTACAACCACAACCTGCATTTCAGGTAGTCACACATTCTAATGAAAGGGCAGAATTGTATTAGCTTAATCATAAAAGGTAAAGGTTGTCCCCTGACATTAAGTCCAGTCATGTCTGACTCTGGGGTGTGGTGCTCATCTCCATTTCTAAACCAAAGAGCCGGCGTTGTCCGTAGACACCTCCAAGGTCATGTGGCCGGCATGACTGCATGGAGCGCCGTTACCTTCCCGGCGGAGCGGTACCTATTGATCTACTCATATTTGCATGTTTTCGAATTGCTAGGTTGGCAGAAGCTAGGGCTGACAGCAGAAGCTCACGCCGCTCCCCAGAATCGAAACTGTGACCTTTCGGTCAACAAGCTCAGCACTTTAACCCACTGCACCACCAGGGGCTCAGCTTAATCATAGTACTTCTTTATATCTTGGCCTAAGGCATGGGTGAGCAATATGGAAGGATAGCCCATCAAGGGATTTGTTGTTCTCTGGAGAAAAGGGGGTTCTTTAACTCTGTACTAGAAACCTTTTTTAAGCAACAGAAAATGAGCAAATGTCACTTCCTGTTTGAAAAAAAGACCTCTTCGTGGGGTCTAGTATGGGCCCCAAACATGGTGGAAATGCCCCATAATTTCCTAAAAGGCATTTTACTGATACTGGCAAGGAATACTATATGTGTCCCTCTGTGTTTTATGGAAGAAGAGTGGATATAAATGTAATAACAACATGAGCAATCACACCCCTTAATAAACATGAGAATTCTATGGCACACAAAATGGTTTTACAGTAATTGACACAAAAGGATGAGAGATGTAATATGAATTTGCAGTTTGTCAGAATACTTAGAAGCAAGTGTAATTCTAAATCCATTTCATCAACAATTCTCTCTGTAATTGAAATGTAATTACAATAGCAGTGCTATGGCAAAATTGTGCCTTCATTTCAGTTCCATTTTCATTCTCAAACTACCTGCTGCTGTTATCCTAATGAATAGTTTTCTGTGTAATAAGCAGGATACACGTGTCAGATGCTCTTAATCATACAGTGATGAGTATATATTTGACATTAGAATGTATTTGAACCCTATTCTAAAGCCAAATAAGCCAACTCCAAAATCCATTTCCATTTGAGGCTGAAAACAGTGCCATGCTTTTAAAAAATCCATACATCCAGTTACTAACATCTCTCTGATAATGTTTTGCAAATAAGAATAAACCTCATACAACCCTTTACACTGGTTTCCTTATGATGGAATGAACTGGTCAATAAAGCTGAGATAAAGAGAACATATAAACACTGTACAAATTAGCATGCATGCTTTGAATTATGTCCAGTAGTGAAGAAATCACTGCTTACCTTTCCAGAAACAATTTTTTCATATATCTGAATTGGCTGATCTGCAAAGAATGGGGGATATCCAGCTGCCATTTCATAAATTAACACTCCTAAGGCCCACCAATCTACTGCCTTGTTGTAGCCCTGGTAAAAATAAAATACTATTAGCAGCATTGCTTGGAAAGGAAAATAAATCTTACCTTAAACACTTGTATAATAAATGTACTTAATGTTCTAGTAGTAGTCTTTAAAATTTTATTCTAAATAAAAATAAAAAATAAAAACAAAGTCTGGGTTGCTGTGAGTTTTCTGGGCTGTATGGCCATGTTCCAGAAGCATTCTCTCATGATATTTTGCTCACATTTATGGCAGGCACCCTCAGAGGTTGTGAGGTCTGTTGGAAGCTAGGCAAGTGGGGTTTATGGAAAAGTCACAGCAACTGAGTGACGCTGGCCATGAAAAACTATGACATCACAAAAACAACGTCTTATGTTTAATAGATAATTTTGAGACTTTTCAGCTAAAGCTAAAGAAAATACTCACTGCTAATCAATAGCTGGCTAAAATGTTAGTTGGTCTCATTCAGTACTGAATTCAAAATCTTTCAAAACTCAGTATTTTTGAAAAAGAGATATACAGTAACCCATATACCACTGAACTCTATATATGTTCAAAAGTATGTGCCACTTTATTTTAGTATGAAGTGAGTATGACTTGGGCATGTATGCCCATTCTGAAACAATTGCAAGTATCTTAAGTACTAGATTCGGCCTTTTATTACTGAAAATGATCTTGTCTTCAATAGGTTAATCAGTGTTTGAAACAACTAGGATATTATTCTGGGGCACATCCAAACTGAAGTTTAATACAATAAAATGTTCCTTTGAGGGTAAAACAACACATGCTCCATCTTCAAAATAATTGTTAAACTATTTCAAAACATTGAACTTATTTCTATATTTCTCTCAATTTATTTTAACTATTTAATAACAGGCTGTTAAATTTTAGGTTAGAGGTTCGGTCTAGTCAAAGTCTATACCAATAAAATCTTACTTCCTGATATTTCTTGAATATGAGAGATTGTCCAATCCACAACACTTGGCAACAGATGCCCTTTTGTAGCTTTCAGAACTTAATTATTGTAAGAAACTCCACACAACTCCAATTATTGTGAGAAACGCCACAAAATTTCTGTTGCAACCAAGTATACCACCTCAATCATCAGTGCATTGACTTAAAACTTATGCCCTACTAGTTTCAAGTTTCACCCAAGCACAGAATTGTTCAGAATTGTAGTGTTTCACTTTCATCTCTGTTTAATTACTCTCCAAAATATTTTGAGGTACCTTGCTGAGAATTATTTCAGGAGCCAAATATTCTGGAGTCCCACATAACGTCCAAGTCCTCCCTTTTACTCTTTTTGCAAACCCGAAGTCTGTGACCTAATAGGATACAGAAAGAGAAGTCACTACATTCTCCAACCATGACGTGTTAATGTTTTCTTTTAAAGCAGCAAGAACATTATGTACACACTTCTAGCCACAGAAGTGGATTTATATTTTATGAATGATTCAAAGGGTCTATAAATTTTGGTTGTAATGATACTTTCATTTGTTACATCCTTTTTGGAACATTGCAACACAATGCACATGTACCTGCCTTTGAAGAGTTTCTGGCGACTTCAGCTGGTCTAAGAGCAGTGGTCTGACTACTGCCTGGATCAAATTATAGGGAGCACACAACTCTCTCATTACAACTCCACTGACTGCCAGTCTAGTTTTCAGGCACAATTCAAAATGTTAAGTTATAGCCTATAAATCTCTACATGGCTTGTGTCCATGTATTGCCCCATATAAATCTGCCCCTGTCTTGAGATGTTCAGGGAAGGTCCTTTCCTCCATCCTAACATCCTATGAGATACATCTAATAACAGAGATATCAAACTCATTTTCAGTGGGGCCCATGGAGAATCCATAGATACAGAGGGCAAACTTTAATTTGTTTACATAGTGGTTGATGCTCTTTAGTTTGTACCCAATTTGGGTCCCCAGATGTTACTGAACAACAACTCCCATCACTTGTGATTATATCTGTCATACAGACTGAGGATAATGTGAATTGCAACCTAACAGCATTTGTGGCTCCTCATACCCTACTATTCTGTCTAAACCAAACAAACTGCAGCCTTCTAGATATTACTGTATCAGAATCCCTATCCCCTTTAGTCATGATGTTTAATGATGAGGAATACAGGAGTTGGAGTCCAACACCTGGAGGGCAATGTAAAACAACATGATGGGCCAAGATTTGGCCCGCGGACCTTGAGTTTGATACATGTGATGTATAAGGAACAAGGCAGAGAGCCTTCTTAGTGGTTACTTCTCAGCTCTAATGCCACCTGCCTAAAGAGGTTAGACTGGTGCCTTTTATGGTGTCCTTCCAGAAGTAGGCAAATACTGTTTTATTATTCACATTTCCTTCAGGACTAACTGCTCATGAGTGAAGCAATTTTAAGCATGTATTCTATTGTATGCATTTGTTATTTTTAAACAGGCATTTTTTACATTGTCATTATTTCTATTTATAGTGTAGCTATATTTTATCATCTGTATGTTCTACGTCACCTATGTGGTCTAGTAGTTTGAGTACTGGACTCTTAGGATACTAGGGCTCAAATCCCTGTGTAGTCATTGAAATCTACTGGGTAACCTTGGACAAGTTACACTCCCTCAACCTGAGGAAGATGATGAAAAAATCTCTCTGAACAAACCTTGCTTCAGAAAACCACATAACAGTTTCATCTTAGGATCACCATAACTTGGAAATTACTTGAAGGCACACAAAATAAACATTTTAAAGATGTATAATTGTATATGATAAAAGCAGGATATTAATAGCAGCAGCAGCAACAGCAACAATAGTAGGTACTGGTTGAGCTTCGGAAAATTCCCAAACCTCCAAAAACCTGAAACTTTCATTATCAGCCTTTGAGGCAATGGCTATTGAACTCCTATTCATTTGTTTTTCAGCTCCTCTGTGTCTCTCTAGCCTTATGTCTCATACCTGAATGAGGCACAAGGATGGAGAGAGACGGAAGTTCTTTGAAATGGCATGAAGCCAAGTGTAATGCTTGGGGGCAATCCTTGTCAATACTCACTGATACTCTGTCTTTCCAGCCTTGTCTCAAATATGAAAGAAGCACAAGGCTGGAGAGAGGCTAAGTATCTGTGAAATTGTGAGAAATGTATATTTATATGCAAATACGTACATTACAAAATCCATACTCAATCCGTATTATATTTTAGAGATTACATACTGTATGTATGTAATCTCTAAAATGATAAAAGGTGATAAAAGGGAAACTGAAAACCTACATTTCAGTGGTATCCATTACACTTTTTTTGGCCAATTCATAATAAGCTTTGATTAGATCAGCTGAAAATATAAACCATTTTGAATCACATTGTACCATTGCTTTTGAATGATCAGTTTGCAGGTAATCAAACAGAGATTTAATTCATGGTCATCATCAATTTACTTAGATTGGAAACATTTATTTTTCTTGTTACAAGGAAAGAAGGTATTTCTCTGCACTGTACCTGGATATATCCTTGTTGGTCAATTAAAAGGTTTTCAGGTTTTAGATCTCTGTAAATGAGGTCTAGTGAGTGGAGGTACTCAAAAGTTAGGACTATCTGGGCTGCATAAAATCTTGCATGTGGTTCACTGTAATAAATAAAAAAATACATTTTTAAGTTTTACTTGTATATCACAGACATAGCAAATCCAATATATTAATAATGTCATGAACTGTGCTGAGAGGTCTGTGGGTTTTCTAGAATGACTTCAAGAACTTCATGTTCGTTCATTCAAAAGTACAAAAACAAATTCAATGATATTTTTGTAAATGTTTAATCATGTAAAACCATTTTAGAAATCTAAAGATGTTAAATGAAAAGTTGTGTTTTGAAAGTCATTTGAGGAAACGTACATGCTTATGCAAAGTAAAAATCCTTTTATCTCCAAGATTTCAAGAAAGCTGAGGCCTGACATTTCTGTCTCCTCCTATGCCTTATGACAAGTAGGACGCATGTTTGAAAACTCTAATTTGTCAATGTCTTCTTACCTGAACCTCCCAATTCTTCTTAAATGTGAGAACATTTCACCCCCAGGAACATATTCCATAACCATGTATAAATTAGAATTGTCCTAAAAGAGAGAAAAAAATGTTGATTTGGAAATATGTATTTACAAAATCCAAAATTTTATTTTGCATTTATTTATTGCATTTATATATGACTTTTATCAGCCCTGGGGGGACTCAAAGTGGTTCACAATATAATCAATGGCAAAATTCAATGCCTCACATGTATAAAAACATTATATATCAAATCAACAACATACAACAATAGATTAAAAGCATTAAAATTATAAAACTACAAAACAACTATCACAGACACAGCATAAAACATTTAGACCTTGCATCAATCTCGAGGTTATCTTTAACTACTTCCATATTTCCGTCATTTACTGAATGCCTGCTTGAATAGCCAGGTCTTAAGTTGTTTCTGAGTGAGGGGGCAATCTAATCTCACTGGGGAGGGAGTTCCACAGTCGAGGGGCCACCACCAAGAAGGTCCTATCTCTTGTCCCCACCAATCACACCTGCAAAGTCGGCGGAATGGAGAGCAGGACCTCCCTGGCAGATCTTAATGTTCTAGCTGGCTCCTAAAAGGAGATGCGATTGGAAATATTCTATTTCTGACACCCTCAATGCAGATTACTTAAGCAATCCCATTCTTGAATACTGTACACAAAATGAATAAGTAGCATGGTCAGCCAGAAAACATTGCGTTGATAAATAAAAATGACCATCCTAATTTCATTGAGTTAAATTAATCAAAATGGAGGTTCATGTGTTACTCTCTTTCTCATCTTCCACAGTGGACATAAGAAGGAATTAGGAAGGTTTTGTTTCCATAGATGAACCCATCAAATTATGGTTTGTTGCAAACAATCTAAGTTTTGACTTCTTTGAACAAACTATTGAGCATTTTTACCACCATTTCTAATTAAAATGGTGTGCTGAATTGTGGTTAACTGAATTAGGTTACAAAGGCTTGCAAACTCCTTTTATATGTATCTTGGGGAAGAAAAGTTTTGATGTGGCTTTTCTTTCTTTTCTTGTGTAGCAATAATTGAAAGCAGAATAATATCTCTTGAAAATGTAACCCATCCAATCTAACTTATAAATATATTAATAAACACTTAATGAACTGCAATGTGAAGAAACAATGTGCTGGTGCTAAAGCCCATTCAATCTTGCTTCGCTGTTCTCTCTGTTTTTAATTAAACCAACCAGAAAGTGGGATATTCAGTTTCACAAAGTGCACACTCATAACCAGGGCTGAAAGCAATCCTGGAAAAAATGTATTGATGTTGTTACAAATTCTGACTTGTTTTGGTGCATTTAAAGATAATCATAAGTTCAACTCCCAGGGAGGTATTCCGTTTTTACTAGGTTCTTGTGGGTTTTTTCGGGCTATAGAGCCATGTTCTAGAAGCATTTCTCCCGACGTTTCGCCTGCATCTATGGCAAGCATCCTCAGAGGTAGTGACCTCACTACCTCTGAGGATGCTTGCCATAGATGCAGGCGAAACGTCAGGAGAAATGCCTCTAGAACATGGCTCTATAGCCCGAAAAAACCCACAAGAACCTAGTGATTCCAGCCATGAAAGCCTTCGACAATACATTATTCCGTTTTTGTTTGTTTACATCTTTGTTTATGAAGCAACAATACTGTATTTTATCCCATTAGTTGCCATTGCATAATAGTTGGGGGTCACAATTTTAGCATTTATGTCTTCCTTGCATAATAGTCACCCACTGGTGCTCAGGTGAGGTGAGAGGGGCCCTATAGTCCTTCTAATTTACACCACATAACAGTCACAAATCCCTTTTAAGGGGAAAACCGGGGAAGTGCAACTGTTATGCAATTAAATATGACATTTGGCATAAAGTGACATTGAACATAAGCTAAAATTGAGAACTTTTTGTTTTAACAGAATAACTCATCCAGTTCTTAAAGTCTGATTTGGGACTGCATGCTGTGTTTGGGAACAGGATCCCTAAGTATTTCATCTCTGATTTTAACAACTGAGGATTCAAAAATCTTTTTTTTTCTTGATTAAGTTTGATACAAAATATAAGTAGTGATCACTGGATATTTGGATTTCACAATTGATTTTAACAATTGAGGAGCCCAAAATCAATTTTTACTTGATGAAGTTTGCCATGAAAAAAGTAATGACCATTGGACTTTACAAGACAGAAAATTGCACCAAAAATACTTTCTCGTTCAATATTTACCTTAAAAGAATACTCCAGTCTTACAAGAAAAGGAAAGTTCACTGCTTGTAATATTCTTTTTTCATTCAGCGTGTGTTCTATTTGCTTCAGTTTAACGACCTTGGGACAAAGTACAGTTTAATTTTTTACTCTTAAAATTAAATCAAACTAGTCACAGTATGTTTTTGTGGTACAGAAAAAAAATAAAAGCAACAATTCAAAAGGGGAATGGTAATTTCCACAAAAGACTATAAAACCACATAAAACTGTACTCATTTTTAACAGTGAATGTGCATACAAGTTGAGCATCCCTTATCTAGAATTCCAAAATCTGAAATGCTCCAAAATTCAAAATTCTCCACATAGATAGTTGAGATAGTGACCCCTTGTTTTCTGATAGTTCATGCACAAAATTACTGCAAATATTGTGTACTACCTCCAAACGATGTGCATAACCTATACAAAAACAGAAATGATTTTTTTGTATAAAGTCCCATCCCCAAGATACAGGCAGTCCCTGAGTTACAAACATTCAACTCACATATGACTCATAGTTAAGAATGGGGGCGTGAAGTGAGGGAAGTGAGGGAAGTGAAGGAATTTTCCTAGAAAGGGAAATTAACTCCTGAAAGAGTTATCATGGGAAAAAAATTATCACAGGGACACAAAGTAAGGTGAAATCTTCTGAACAGGGGCACAGACAGCAAAACAAACACCACATAGGTTACATTCAAAAATGTACCTGTTCTGACTTACATATAAATTCAACTTAAGAACACACCTACAGAACCTACCTTGTTTGTAACTTGGGGACTGCCTATATATGCATATGCAGATATTTGAAAATCAAAACTCTTCTGTTCTCAGGGGTTTTGGATAACAAATACTCAGTCTGAACACCAAAACTACTACTCTCTTTTGCCTTTTAGAAGATATTTATCAGGAAAAGTGTGGTGCACTCTGTATGTCTATTCTGTCTTTAACCTCTGTCAAAGGAATATTATGATTGGTATTCATAACATGGTTGAAATGACTCCTCAAAATGCCCAAGGCTCTGGACTTTCCTAGAGACTGGCAGGCCAGTTTATCGAACTGTGAGTGTGACAGATTATACACTGAGTTCCTTTTTGGCACATGTTATTCCCACCATGATCCCGGTAACTGTGAAGCAAGTATAGCATGGAGAGCCTAATAGGAGATGAAAAGGACTCTTCCAATGCTCTAAATTTTCAATGCGTACCCTACCACATCAGTCATTTATCATTAAGCATATAATCTTACATTTGGAATAACTTAACAATGATTTCTCTACAGATCTGCAAATGTTTAAATAGGGCACTGTTTATGCTGCAAAATGCTGGTATCATATAACTAGTGTTCTTTTCATCCCAGTGAGGTAGTTCTAACTTGGATTTTTATCTTTTGCATTGGCCCAGCTCAATGTGTTTTAATTCTTTTATCACTTCATATTTTGTGTCATTATGATATTTTTATTATGTTATTGTATTATTTTGCTATTGTTTAGAATTTTATTTGATGTTATTGTCTGTTGTGTGTATTTTACTTTGCTTTTGTAATTCTTGGGCTTGGCCTCATGTTAGCTGCCCCAAGTCCCTTTGGGGAGATGGTGGTGGGATATAAATAAAGTTGTTTATTATTATTATTATTATTATTATTATTATTATTATTATTGTGTTAAGTGTCACCAGGTGAACTTTGGGTTATGGAGACCCCATGACTGCAAAACTTCCAAGTCACCCTAACTTTTACAACCCTGCTCAGGTTTTGTAGACTCAAGGCTGTGGTTTCCTTGGTTTTTAATTCTGAGACGCCAATACCTCACTTTGTGTAAAATGAAACTCAAGCAAAGGGAGGAATTTTTGTAATACAGCAAGACAATTAAATTCTGGAATTGAAGACACAGAACATTACCATCATGACATTTCAAGTAATTTCAGTATAAATGCAGCAGTATATCTGTATATAGCATGCAGACTTGAATAATGAAATTGGCATGATTTGTAACATCACCTCACTTTCTGATTTATAACTGCTGCAATATATTAAAAATCCAATGCCTCTTCCTAGTACTTCCCCCCGTAGCTGAGAATTAAAAAGTGTCCCTCCCTAAACTGCAGGATGTTTGTGGAAAAAAGTGAGGGAACAAATATATAGCTTACTATTTTCTATCACACACTTCTTTAAACCCCTTCCTTTTTTTAGATATCCACACTAGTTTAAAAGAAGGGAAACTATTTTTTTTTAAAAAAACCTCATTGAAACATTAGCAGCACAGATATACTTCCTTGTTCAATGTTCCAAAATATTACTGGTCACTTTATATCTGAGACAGAGTTATTTAAATAGCACAAAATATTTAATGGAGTGATACAATATGAATTATATCCAGCTACAGGGAAATAATCTGCCTGAATAACACAATGATATGCACAACTGGATTTGCTAATACCCCTACCGTCTTGTATTAGATAAAATATTTTTGTATTCAGCTGCACAATCAAGGTATTGAATGTACAAAACAATTATTTCAACATGGTAAAAAAGCAATCCAATAGGCTATCACTGCTAGGCAATATTATTTATATAGCAAATATCAAGGAAGGTTATGGATAGAAAAACCACGGATGCTTTCACTAGGCTCATTATAAATATATTACTAGATGCTGTAAGTAATACATTTATTTATTTATCGTAATAGAAGCGAACCGAGGGTACAGTAGTGATGTATTAAGAAAACACAAAGTTTAAACTTGGCATTATACTAAATGTCCTTTGACAAGGAGCTGGCCGCTTGCAGTTGCTATAAGAAGGTCCTCCACTGTGTATGTGGCAGGACTCAAGACTGCATTGTAATAGGAGGTCTGTGGTTTGCTCTTCTCCACACTCGCATGTAAGTAAGAAAGAAAAGAAGATAATAGGCAGATGCTAAGCACAACCTGATGAGCTATGAAGCACTTTTTTTTAGATAAACAATATAGCATTCCCTATTTCTGTATCTTTTCTGGTCATAGAAACACCATATTCTCATCTGTTGTTCAGATTTATGTCAAACGCTCCTTCTTCACCCAGAAGTGATTTAAGCACTTGAAGCACGGCTGGGAAAGGCACTTGACCGTACTCTTTAGGTAACACACAATTTTAACAAAGAACCCTCATCTTGCATTTCATGTCTCCTTAACAGAGCTGGTGTACTATTCTCCCACAATGGAGTAAAGTAAATATGTTTCCCTGGATTGAAGAACTGAGGAAAACTCAATTCAAATGAAGGAGTAACTAAACAAGAACAACACAGAAAAGCCTACCTAAATGATATTTTTCTGTGTAAAGAACGGTATTTAAAAGAAGTAAATTATAATAAAAATGTACTAACTTTTTGTTTATCCAGTATCTTCATGGCATAATACTGTTCTGTCGCTTTATGCTTCACCAACATAACTCTGCCAAATGACCCAGTTCCAAGAGTTTTTAGCCTCTCAAAGTCTTCTAAACCAGCAGTATTCTATATAAACAGAAGAAAAAATATATAAAATATTCAAAGTCTAAAATAACTAGTATTTAAGTTCTATTAAAAATATAATCATAGTTATCAAATGTAGTATTTCATTAAGGAGGGTGACAGTAAACTCTATGGCGGATAATAAACATTAGAAACAATCTGCTACCAATTTTAATATATTCAAAAGGTTAACAACAGTCATTCAAGGCATGAATGCGTACTTTGAAAAGTACACAAGCTGGGAAGTTTAATTCTTAATATGAACAATCAAAAGTGAGTTGCATAGAATTCTACATTCATCCAAATAGTAGGCTGTCTGCTTTTGCAGGATTAAGGAAAGCAAAAAACCCACAATAAAAGAAAAACATTGACGTAAAAAACATTTTTTAAAATCTGAGAGAACGCCTCTGTAAGAATTGCTAGGTCCTCCAGGGCAATTATATGATCGCTAGAAGTTGACCCTATCAAGTGTATCACAAAGTCATCACGAGGATTGAGAGATTCTTAGAGGAAACATATTAATTAAAACCCTGAATAATCTGCAAAAATTTAAACTGCAAATGTGGCAGACTGGTTGTAATTCAAACATGAATCTACCCATGCTTTCTTACATACACATTATTACTGATAGGAAGCTTCTCGTGGAGGTACTGAGGTTACAGAGGTAGACTAGATGATCGCCACCCAGTACTATTCCCCTTTACCTACCATGTTTTCCTCCAGTAGAAGTCTATAGATATAACTACGTAAAGGACATGGAAAGAGACTGCAATCTAGAAACTGTTATGTGTGTGAAGCCTAGAATTGAAGGTTGAAGTGTCTAGGGCAGGTAGAGCTGTCCTCTTCTCTTGGAATAAGGATATTGTTCTAGTTCCCTTCAGCTGTATTTATGAGGAAAAGATTCATACATTTTCCAAGCAAATCAGTTATAGCCTTTCACTTTTCCTGGAAAAAGGAAGCTGGTTCCCGACACTGTGGATATGCAATTTTGCATTCTCCATTATCTGTGATCCCTATTTCAGAAGCCCAGGCTATTGTCATTAGCACCAAAAATCTTCAACTGGGTTTTGTTTTTGTTTTTTAGTTTTTTTTAAACCAGTTTTAAAATAGAGGTTGACTATCTATCTCTCATGAATGCTTTGGCAATGAATTTGTGCATGGAAGGGAAATGGACTAGATAGTCCTTGCCGTCCTTTCCAATTCTGTGATTCTATGAACTTAGGTCCATATCACACTTTACTGTTACAGTACTATTGCTCCACTTTCACTGCTTGTGGCTGCCTACTGTGTAATCCAAGCATTATAACAGTGTGGTGTGATATTGGTATTAACAGGATTCACATATTTGGGAAGGTACTTGGTTTTAGATGCTACTCCACCAACCCTTTCCCCCATAATATCTTGTACACAAATTATAAAATATATTAGCTACAATTAGAAGTTGTAAACATGTTGATGTTGTTCTATATAGATCCCAGAAACCCAAGCAATGTAGCTATGTAGAGTTAGGAAGCATAAAGTATTCAGGAGCACAGAGACCTAGTTTGAACAATAACTCTCACAAATCTTCTAAAAAGCAAGAATAAGACAGCAGTATATATAGTATTTATGCTATAAACACGATTTCAAATCTCACTGCAAATTTCCTCCACAGAAAACAAAGCTACTCAAAATATTTGTTTTTATACATTTTCCAAAGTTTGAGCAGTCAGTAAATACTGACTGTGAACAAACACATTTCTTCTCAAAGTAGTCATACAAAACAGAATCACAGGATGGAAACATCATTAAAAGTTTCCTGACCAATATCAAGTGTTTTTCTAGAAGTTCTAATTATTAATTATAGGGTATACAAATGTGCATTGCATTATTACAAACACAATAGACAAGACTGAAATTGTTTCATTACCTGAGGGGGGCTTTCCCATTTTCTTAAAAAATCTTCTTTGGCTTTGGCTAGGAACTCTTTCACTGAAAACAGAAATTAAAATGCATAGTTTAATATAATTCATTCAAGAAATAAGGCTTAGCAAAACTATTTCAAGGCTGTTTTAAGAACTGCTTGTAAACTTGTACTCTTCAACTCACACTCTAAATAAGAAGCAAGAGTTCTACAGTAGTTCTAACAGCTTTGTAAAGCTCATGAATGACAACATATATTCCAGCATAACTTGCTTAAACTAGTTTAAATCTAATAGGCCACACCACTGTACAGGCAAGCAGGCTTTAAGGTGATGCAAATCCCGCTTGGACTGAAAGCAGAATGTAAAAAAGTATTTCTTGTTGGTACTCAGAGAGCAAACTGGTCTTGCTCCAGTGCATCACTTTTGCTTAAAGGCTGTTTGCAAGCCAAAGAATCAAGTGCACAGCATTACTGCAAGCAAAGGCAATACATAGGGTTACAAAATAGCACATCAGAGATGCCCACAGTCAGAGACTACCACAAAGTGCTAATTTTGCATTTCACGCAATATCATTCTACATCGCTGTGTAAAATGTGCACTATAACATAAAGCAATGTGTATTTGTTTTAACTTTTAATGTATACATGATTATTTTATATGATCATTTTATTATGGATGAAGGGGACTTATCTGTTAGGAAAACAGGTTGGAAATCCTGTTTAAGATGACCAGAGCAGAGTTAATTCAATTCTTTCATTTTCTGTCATGTTGCCATTATAATCACATTTGTGAGAATGTAAATGTACTGTCTGCTGAGGTAGCTTGCTCTACCACACACTCCATAATTGTGCATCTGGCAGGCAAAGGCATTGTTATTCATTTGCCTCTGTTTATTATTCGAAGCATTTTTTCTAGTTGGATGCTGAAATTTCTTATGGTCCTGCTACCATGACCATATAATGCAGTTTGAAGCCAACTCGGTGACCACGAATCGCACACCAGCAATGTGTACTTCAGCACAGATAAAACGGGAAGCAACGCATTTAAAAAGTCACAAGAAAAGCTGATGTAAACTATATAATGTGCTGCAGCTGATCCAATTATAAGCCAGATCTATAGAGAAATCATCCCTGTCATCCCTGTCCACTCTGAAGTGCAGTAATGGGGGTTCCCAAACAGCACCCCAAGGGCACAGCTGGGCAGCAGGGGCCAATCGAGAGTAAACTGGAGAGGAAACTGATTACCTTTACTGATTTCAGTTTCCCTTTTTAAAAAATCCCGGACGCCTCTGGTGCACTAATGTGCATTTCTCTGAAAAATTGGGGGAGTGAGTCTGCACAGTGGTTTGAGGCCAGGCTATGTGCTTAATGTAATCGCCTTTCTGGCTTCAAACTGATTCCACACCTTTTAACCTAATCACCCACATAGCAAACCAGCTCCTTTCAAACCAGCTCCAAAATGGATTATAACAGATTGCACTTTTAACTGATTGGAGTAATTTTATTTATATTTCTAAGGCTGGCAAAGAGGTTTACATGGACTAGGACTTCAGGAGACCAAGGTTCAAACCCCTGCTCAGCCTTGGGAGCCTATTGCACGACCTTGGGCAAATTACAATCTCTCAGCTTAAGATAGTAAACATCCTCTGAATAAATCTTGTTAGAAAAGTCTGTGATAGGTTTGCCATAAGTTAGACTTGATTGGAAGGAAGGTAACAAAACAAATGTTTTTCATAATGCATTTAAGTGTTGCTAGCCATTGTGAGTGCCCGTATTGTCAAAGCAGCAATAAAAATAAATTGAGCTCTGGGTCATATCAGAAACTCTACTGTCTTTATGTATACTTACACATAAATAATCCTATGGAAACTGGCATATATATATTTTATTTTATTCAATAATGGATACTTGTTATCAGGGAAAACGTAAATGTTCCAATTTTTTAAACTGGATTTTTTTTTACATAAAATCTATGAAATATTTTCAGTGTAAATGGACCCAACTACTGAACTTCCACCCATCAGTGCACATTTTAGTTACTAGTTTTATGATTGTTGCTTCCCCTTTTTTGTAGTTTTATAGTATAGTCAATGACTCTGGGCTCTAATGAAAGAATGAGCATACCAAAGGTTTCTAAAGTTTTCACCAAGGATTTTCAGGAACATTCACCCACACAGATGTGATGGAAAGAAGAAAGAAAGAGAAAAAAGGTTTACGCATTTTCCATATGGTACACAGAAATAAAATTCATCCCAATTCAGCTCCCTTTCCATCTTTCTCCCCAATAAAGAATGGACATCAGAATAGACCAGACATCTCACAAGCTCAGACAATGGCTCAGCTTGCATTAAAATACACCTGTAAAAAGCAATTAGAAAACCACTAAGTTTTACACAAAGAACAAATATGTAAAGACTGTGAAGAACAGTACACTGAAAACATTACAGAATTTATGAAAGAAATTGGTTGTTAAGAATTTAGGCACCCAAACATATGGACACATAAAACAGTGATGTTCTACAATCTCAGAAGTGTGCTATAGGGTATCATTTACAGATCGGTTGCACTGACTGTGAATACACTTATCAATCCCACTCCCAGTTATTCAGTAACCATATGTTATATGAAATTGAATGGGCATACTAAGCAATTATGCTGCATTAAAACATCTGGGAAATGGTAAAGAACTGCACATGCAGCCTCCGATCTGGCATTTCTTCAGAAATCACAACATTTTGGTGTAGTCAACTTCTAGTATTAACTGAAAAATCACTATATACACCTGGTTATAAGACTAGAAATTTTACTAAAAATTCAACTCAAAATCTGAGCTGACTTATACATGGATCAGTGTAAATCAGGCATGGGCAAAATTTGGCTCTCCTTGTGTTTTGGACTTCAAATACCAGAAATCCCAGCCAGTTTACCAGCTGTTAGGAATTGTGAGAGTCCAAAACATTGGGAGGGTAAAACTCTGCACATGCCTGATGTAAATAGTGGACCTTATCTCTGATCACAAAAGAAACTATTCCTTTCTCTGAGCCGAGTACTGAAAGGTGAGAGCTTTGCCCATCTTGGGAGAACTTGAAGGAACTACCAACACAAATATCCCCATGATGGCACCAATTCTGGCCATTTTAAAATACCTGGACAGGAAAACAGCAGCGGTGGTGGCAGCTCTCTGACACTTCTCAACAGAATGCAGAGAGAGCAGAAGAGGTTCAGGTTCTCCTGGGACAGATGAAGCTCTTGCCTTTCCCCACTCTACTCAGAGAAGGGGATGGGTCCCTTGTTTATAAGAGTTAACACTGTTTCTTAATTATCAAAAAAGGAACTATCTTCTGCTTTGAGTAGAATGTCTAAGGCTCTTTTTCAATGCCTGGGTGGGGAAATGGTGGTGGCAAAAGCCAGGGACAGCTAACCCCCAAAGAGCACTGACACTTTCCCTTCTCCATAAAATGACCTTCGATAAATCCACAGGTCATATCAGAATCCATAATTTGGTCCCCAAACCTGCCCTCGACTTATGCATGAGGATGACTTGTATAAACAAGTATTGATGGTAACTTGCCATTGGGAGGAATTAAATGGCCCATATACAGTTGCCCCCCAAACGCCTTATACTTTACTTTACTTTCACATGCCATCACTAGGAAGTCACTGGCTTACATAAAACCAGAACATGAACCTATTGAAAACATGCAGAATTGCTATGGATGTTACATACTGTTCAGCACTTCTTGTACAATATTAATTACTGCAGATAGTTATACTGACGACTCTAAAGTGTGTATTTACTGTTCTATTGATTCAAACATCTGATAAGGGAAAATATAGTTCAGATAAAATATGTGCTTATCCCGCTTTAGATATCCATCTAAAGTCCTAGCTAACTGGTTTCTTAACTTAGTATCAAAATGAACTATAGGTCTCTGAGTTCACTCTCCATCACTCATGTGGAATGGAGGACTGAACAGGAGCCCAAGGCTCTCCGTGCCCATGAGTCAGGATGACTTTGCATTCTCTCCGGTATCAGAAGCTATAGTAGCCAGTGAGCTTCTAAAAGTAGTGTAATATATATTTCATGCCTGCTGGTTGGATTGATAATGGCACTGCTGTGATGTGTATTTAGAGTATGTTTCTGTCCAGACAACTACTGAATATGTTCTTCAGATTAGCATATTATTCAGATTAGGAGCACACACAGTTTTGTAGAACTCTTTTGTAGAATTCAAACACTCAGTTTTGGGTTACATGTTCACGGTCCCCTTTAAAGTAGACCTCCTTCCTTTGGAACTCAAAAGAACTATTAGTCCTCTAATGTAACAGATTTGTTTAGCAAGTCCAAAAAAGACAACAAGGGAAGATGGTTATAGTATAAAACCTCCAAACAATGTATGGAAGCTTACCTGTCACCATAACTGTCAATAATTATAGCCAACATGTGAAAATGTAGTTTTGGTTCTGTTTCATTATCTGGGTAGAGGCCACAGGGGGGTACTAAATAGAGATGGATAGTCCATTTAAGAGGGGGGTGAGGGGGAAATTGAATGAGTTAAACCATTCCCCCCTGTTTTCCTGTTATTCCCCCCACCCATGTTGCCATTGTGGAAGCAACCACCATTTATGATATGGAAGGGGGGGGGATAACCAGTGGTAATGGGGAAAATGGTATTCATCCTTCAACTCCCCCACCCATCATCCTGGCATAAAATGAACTATCCTTCTCGGTCTAGACCCCCTTTTGGAGTCTGCCCAAATAATAGAACAGTACCGTAGTTTTTCATAATTCTAAACAGAAGGCAAGTTATTTCCATTTACAACAAGTCAAAATTTCCATTTAGAATTTTAAAGAAAACTATAGTAGATGCTGGATATATGATTATCTAACAAGGATTTAAGTCATATGTCGCCATTATGACTTACAATTTAACGATTTGATGAAAGTGATATTTTGTTTTCTCAACACTTCTGCCATCTTTATCATTAAGCATGGTGAATCTAACTGAAATGTATAAGTGTTTTAATTACAACATGTAGAAGCATTATGTTTAAAATATTGAAATTA